CCTCATCTCTACAAAAATAAAAATAAATTAGCTGACTGTGGTGGCATACACCTGCAGTCCCAGCTACTCAGGAGGCTGAGGCAGAAGGATCACCTGAGTCCAGAAGGTCAAGGCTGTGATAAACCATGATCATGCCACCACACTCCAATCTGGGTAACAGTGAGACTCCAACTCAATAAAGAATAAAATTATGTCCTTTGCAGCAACATGAATGCAGCTGTAGACCATCATTCTAAGTGATCTATCACAGAAACAAAAAAACTGAGTAATACATGTTCTCACTCACAAGCAGGCCCGGATCACTGAACACACATGCACAAAGGTGGGAACAACAGACATTGAATATGTTGCCAAAGGAGGGAGGGAAGGAAGAGGGATAAAGGGCACAAAACTTCCTCCTAAGAACCAAGTCCACTACCAAGGGGAGAGATCGCTCACTAGAAGCCCAAATCTCATCTGCACGCAATTTACTTAGGCAGTAAATCTTCACATGTATCCCACAACTCTAAAGTAAAATAAATAACGCACACTAAAAATATTTTCCCATGTCTAATACTTTATGCTCTTTCTATTATATCCAAGAGAAGTTTTCTCTATAGAAGTATAACTTTTTATATTAGAATTTTGTTCAAGTTTGATTCATGAAGGAGGAGGAAGAAAGACCTGTTTTGTCATCATTATGTTACCTACACGATCGAACAGAGAAACTAGGCCCTAGTAACACTAGTCAATAAGCACTATTCTGATATATTTACCTATCTGCACTAAGTGGCCAAGAACTCAATGCCTTGACTATATTAAGACAATATATACTGAACAGGACTCTTTTCCGTTTTAGTACTATTCCTTATTTATTCCAATCACTTCCTACAAAATGATTAACAACAACCAGCTATTTCAGGAGAGTATAAACTATTGCGTTACATAATGACATCAACCTGGCTGATTGATATGCCAGGGTCTTAATAATTCCAACTCAATCCAGCTAAGTACTACATTTAGCATTAACTTATACCTAGAAAAGTGAACAGTCTAATTTTAAAAAATGTTTCAGCTGGATTAAAAAATTCACTTTTGAATTTACTTATTTTCTTGCCCAGGGAAAAATAAAAAATAAAATTAAAGAAGATTCATCTGGATCCAACGGCTCACACCTGTAATCCCAGCACTTTGGGAGGCAGAGGCAAGAGGATTGCCTGAGCCCAGGAGTTCGAGACCAGCCTGGGCAGCTTGGCAAGACCTCATCTCTACAATAAATTTTAAAAAACAAACAAACAAACAAAAACAAAAGGTCAGGCGCAGTGGTTCACGCTTATAATCCCAGCACTTTGGGAGGCCAAGGTGAGAGGATTGCCTGAGCCTATAGTTCGAGACCAGCCTGGGCAACATGACAGATCTCATCTCTACACTAAATCAAGAAAAATTAGCCAGACATGGTGGTGCATGCCTGTGGTTTCCAGCTACTTGGAAGGCTGAAATGGAAGGATTACCTGAGACCAGCAGATTGAGGCTGCAGTGGTCAGGAGCATGACACTGTACTCCAGCCTGGGCGACAGACTGAGACGCAAAAAAAAAAAAAAAAAAAAAAAATTAGCCAGGTGTGATATGCATACCTATAGTTCCACCTACTTGGAAGGCTGAGGCAGAAAGATGGCCTGAGCACAGCAGGTCAAGGCTGCGGTGGCCGTGAGCGTGCCACTGCACTCCAGCCTGGGTGACAAAGTGAGACTCTTACTCAAAAAAAGAGAAAGAAAATTCAAAGGCCAGAGACAAAATGTAACAGTCTCAAACATACAAAATGTTAGCAAAAGTAAATGTGCTTATGAGAAAAGTATGTTTGCATAATGAGAAATGTGTGTCTGAGAGAAGATAGTTCTTTAAGTTTAGCCTTTGAGAATGTAAAAGTTTTAAAATTTCTAAAGTGAGATTTTCAAGATGATTTTAAAATGCTGCTTATTCCATGTATAAATAAGAGCTACAATAGCTTAGAATAATTCTGCAATCCAAGTCTATCCAGAATAGCTTTTGTTCTAATTTCAAGAATTTATTGTTAAGATCCCTTAGGTGTTTGCTTTTCTCTTCCTCTATTCCCATTCTCACTTCCAAACCCAGTTTCTTATCTATATTTTATGAAAATCAGTTTAAAAAACAAGCTTAAGGAAAACCAAATAACATACATAATTAGAACTTGCAAGAATGTTGAGAAAATATCTACAGGATAAATTACCTGCATCATAACTAACATTACATGACCTTCATATGCACTACCTAAAGGTTAAATAGCTAAGAAAAGGATTTAAACATGCAATATTTCCTTTAGTCGGTATTTAGTCTTACATTTTATTCAATTATTATCTACCTTGTTTTTCCTTTTTAATTCTTTACATAATATATTTTCTTCCTCCCACAAATTCTCATTTTACCACTTAAAAACCTTTTCCAACAACATGTTTCAAAATCATAGCTACTAAGAAGATAAACAGTGTTGTTCCCTCTCCTCACCTCCATTCTCTGACCTCTGTGACGTTTCCAAAAGTGTTCAAAAACTTGATTACATTTTAAAAATAGAAGGCACAAAAAAGAAGATTCACCTTAAATAACTATGAGAAACATTTGGTCCAACTCTAAGAAGCCTTTTCTGTTAAACCAAAGGAGTAGCAAACTTGTTACTGTCCCTGTCTCCTTCCATGCATCTAATCTAGGTCATTTTCACATACAAATGAAAACATTCTGAATAATCTCTCTATTGCAAGGATATAAATATAGATAACATGTCCTGCTACCATCTGAATGAGGAACACTATAACATCAAGATAAGTAATTAAGTACTGAAAGCTATCAAAACCTATCTAACCTATAAAATATTTAATATAAATTACTATAATCACTGACAGAGCCAGGCACCATGACTCACGCCTGTAATCCCAGCACTTTGGGAGGAGGAAGCAAGAGGATTGTCTGAGCCCAAGGGTTCAAGGTCAGCCTAGGCAACCTGGCAAGACCTCATCGCTACAATAAAAAATAATAAATAAATTAGCCAGGCAAGGTGGTTCGCACCTGTATATCTAGCTATTTGCAAGGCTGAGGCAGAAGGATCATCTGAGCCCTGCAGGTCATGGCTGCAGTAGACATGATTGTGCCACTGCACTCAACCCTGGGTGACAGAGTAAGACTCCAACTCAAAATAGAAAAAAAAAAAAAAAAAATCGCTGACAGGATACATTTTTATTATCAATATAATTGAACATCAAGGAAAAAAAGTAATGAACTTGCTATGAATCCATAACAGATTTAAAACATTAAATAGTAGCTATGATAAAAATCTAAATTTATTCATATATAATTCTATTTCAGGCTGAGCATAGAGGCTCATGCCTATAATACCAGCACTTTGGGAGATCAAGGCAGGAGGACTTGAGCCCAAGAGTTCAAGACTAACCTGGATGACACAGCAAGACCACACCTCTACCAAAAAAATTTAAAAAATAAAAAATCAGCCTTGTGTGGAGGCACACACCTGTAGTCCCAGTTACTCAAGAGGTAGAGGTGGAAGGATCACCTGATCCCAGGAGGTCAAGGATGTGGTGAGCCATGACTGTGACACTGCACTTGAGCCTAGATAACAGAGTGAGATCCTAACCCAAAAAAAAATTACATTTGTTAATATTCTCTTCCAAATTCCATATGCCATTTTTAGATGGACTACTAAAAGCATGAAAACAAATATAAAAATCTCATAATCACCTCGCACTTTAGGACACCTAGGCAAGAGGATCACTTGAGCTCAGGAGTTCAAGACCAGCCAGGGCAACATAACAAGATCCTGTCTCTACAAAAATAAGCTGGGCAAGGGTGGCACCTGCCTGTAGTCCCAGCTACTTGGGAGGCTGTGGTAAGAGGATCTCTTGAGCCCAAAGAGTTTGAGGCTGCAGTGAGCTATGATCATACCACTGCAACAACAAAAAAAATCTGTAATCAATCTGCTCCCCCAGATTTTTTTTAATTTAAAATGTTTCAATACAACAATTACACAAAGGACATGTAAACATGTGAATCAGCTTCAGTTTTTACATCACAGGACTTAAGTCACAGGACTTGTTAACATGGGCAGCTACCAAGCGTGAATGGGTTGAGTTCTAAGTTTCAGAATTCAAAATACCAGACTCCCCCAGTAGTTCATGACATTCCCTTTACTTCATCATATGGTTAACCTATATATCAATGATTATGCATTTTCTCTCCATTTCCAGGTACCTGGTGAAGCTAGGCAAAATTATAACACAGAAAAAGTTAGCTCTGTCACTGTACCATATCACTTTTTCCCATATACTACCCTCCGACCCCCAGTTTCTGATGTCCTTCTCCCTCTTCAAGTGTCCTAAGGGCCCAATACTGAGAATAAGTAAATGTACTAAAGTTCTAAAACCACTTATTCAGCTGCTTTCCTGACTGGAACTTACAACTTCTATTAAAATGTCCAGTTAGAAATTTATAGTAGGCTGTGTAATCCCAGTCAGCACTTTGAGAGGCCAAGACGGGAGAACTGCTTCAGCCCAGGAATTCAAGACAGGCCTGGTCATAACAGCAAGACCTCGTCTCTAAAAAAAAAAAGAAAGAAAGAAAAAAGAAAAAAAGAAGTTTGCAGTAACACTAACACAAATTTAAAATGACCATCAGATGTTGAAACATTAATAAGTCTAATTAGTGCTAAACTTTTCAAAATAAAGAGGCTACGGAGTTCAAATCCCTTTGCAGAGATATTTAATGAAATTCAAATTGAAGAAAGCAAAGTAGATAATACTGCAAAATTACATGGTTTAATGTCTCAATGGGTTTTCATGGAATTAAAATAAGTATGAAGTTAATTTCTCATAACTTTTACAATTCTACAATCACAAAATGGGGAAGAATTTCAATTTTTTATCAGTTTAGTTGTAACTGGCTTTAACCTAATATATTTTACGCCTAAAAGAAATATTTTGTAATAAAAAATATTTTACCAGTTGACAATGGTAGGAGGTACTAGTGACTTCAAGAGAGTGTCTTTGTGACAATACCTGCCAAAACACAAAAAGAAAACAAGTATTACTATTCACAATCTAGATAATCGAAGCCAAATACCAACTTTTTCCTGGAGATACTTTACGTTTAAACTTCAAAGGAAATTTTCTGGTAAATTTTTCTGGAAACATCATCTATTACACTAGCAAATGGCATTTTATCATATAATCTTTCTCCAAAAAAGTATGGTACATACACTACACACCGATGAGAATGGCCAAAATCCAAAACACTAACACCACCAAATGCCAGTGGTGTGGCTAGTGGAAATGCAAAATGGTAGAGCCACTTTAAAAGATTGGCAGTGTCTTATAAAACTAAACATACTATTAACATATGATCTGCAACCATGCTCCTTGGTATTTATTTACCCAAGAGTCAATAAGTCCACAAAAAAAAAAACCTGCACATGAATATTTTCAGCAGCTTTATTCATAACTACCAAAACTTAGAAGTAAACAACATGTCCTTCAGAAGGTAATGGATAAACTATAGTACATCCAGACAATGGAACACGAGTCAGTGCTAAAAAAGAAATGCGCTAACAAGCCACAAAAAGACATGGAGGAAACTTAAGTGCATACTGCTAAGTGAAAGAATCCAATCTGAAAAAGCTGCATTCCAACTAAATGATATTTTGGAAAGGGTAAAACTACGGAACAGTGGTTGCCAGGGGTTAGGGCAGGGAGGGGTGAATAGGCAGAGCACAGAGGATTTTTAGGGCAGTAAAGCTGTTCTATATGACACTACAATGGTAGATACAAACCATTAAACATTTATCAAAGTCCATAGAACATACAACACCAATGTATATGGATGCTGGGTGATAATGCGGTGTCAATGTTAGGTTCATCATTCTGGTGGAGGATGTTGATAATGAGGGAATCTGTACCTGTGTGGGGGAAGAAGTATATAGCAGATCTCTGTACCTTCCTCTCAATTTTGCTATAAACCTAAAGCTGCACTAAAAAATAGTCTATATTTAAAAAAATAAGACCTGCCGGGCACGGTGGCTCACACCTATAATCCCTGCACTTTGGGAGGCCAAGGTGAGAAAGGACTGCCTAAGCCCATGGGTTCAAGACCAGCCTGGGCAACTTGGTCAGACCTCATCTCTACAAAAAAAAAAAAAAAAAAATCTAAAAATTAGCCAGACGTGGTGGCATGTGCTTGTAGTTCCACCTACTTGGAAGGCTGAGATGGAAAGATAGCCTGAGCCCAGCAGGTCGAGGCTGCGGTGGCTGTGAGCATGGCACTGCACTCCAGCCTGGGAAACAGAATGAGGCTCCAATTTAAAAATAAATAAATAAATAAATAAATATGGCTCATTCAAAACTCAGAAACAAAGTATGCTATAAAGATTGAGTTGATTTACTCATTATGATGACAGTAAAGAATATAATAATTTCCAAGGTGTATACAGTGATATATTGTTTAAAAAACACTTTTATACTTTAGCTCAATTTTTCTCTATCACCTGTGATACAAACAGGTTAGCTATCATTACATGGTCATTTTTTAAAGACATATATTAACATCAGTCCAAACCAGAGTTATTAACTTATACTAAAACCTAAGCATTCTGAATCAATTCAATATAGCCTCACTATTAATGTTTAAGTATGTATTAATTTTTTAAGAAGATAGACCTTAAAAAGCACCTAAATATGGCTTATACATGATGCTATTATCCTTATTTGCATATGAAGTAACTGGCATAAGAAATTAACAGGGACATTTCTAAGATGTTTTTTAATCCCTTTAAATAGATGAATGAACCTTTCAGGGTCATAGCTAATAAGAAAGAGCAGGGATTTTGAAGCCCTTGTAGAATTTCTATAAATTAAAAAATAGAAGGCAGTCTATGTATATTAACAGAAAATTCACCAAAAAAATTACCCACTGTCCATAAACTACAAAAAAAGTCAACATCGCCATTTACCAAGGAAATGCAAATTAAAACAGTATCATTTCCCCCATCAATTTTTGATGAAAAAAAAAAAAGTGCTGGTAAAGATATAGGAAATAGGATATAGCTCCAGGCACTTCTGGGGAAGTGTAGCCAGCTGGGGGAGCAATTTGGCAGCAGCTAGCAAAAGCTGAAAATGTAGATTCCTATGACCTAGAAAATCCCTTTTGAGAAATTTGCCCTGGAGAAACTTTGGCACATGTGCACACTTACTATACCCTGTTTTGTTCTGTTAATTAAATGGTATGACAGATCCTAGGTATTTAATTGGCCCTCAATAAATGCTAAGAGTTTCAACAAATATTTACTAAATGCCTACTCAGTTCCAGACCTGATGCTTCTCATTCTGAGAATGAGACTATGGTACTCAAAAAGTTCTAGTCCAGTGGTTGTTGGGAGCCGGCCACGGAGGCCCACTGAGCGTTAGGGATCAGGAAGGGCTGTTGACCCCGAGACCACTAGGATGCGTTCGGGAGCTATTGACCCCATTTCCTCCCCCTTTCTACTCAGCACTAACCAGATTAAGCTCCTGTGAGCTCAAAACATAAAAACTCTGAGACACAAGCTAACTTTAGAAGCTCATTGCTCCCATTCTTCCACAAACTGCAGATCTGGCTTTCACACAACTTATAATTCAAACTCGTGTCACATCTAAGAGCCTTAGTATTGGTCACAGGCTTCTGGGTCATGATCTTAGGATTTATTGAAGGTGTAAATTGTAGAATATAGTTTTAGAAGACAGCCATTTTGTTGAAAGAATGCAGCTGGGTTACTTGCAGGTAGCCCACTGTGAACTTTGGACTGGGCCACATTCCAAACATTCTGGGATGGGACACTTTCGTTTGTAAAGTAAATACTTAAGCTTCTATAGAATTGTTTAACTTGGCATAAATCAATCAGCTTAGGATAAAAAAGGTTTATAGAACATGTCAGTCATGGATTAGGTTATCCTTCATTATGGGATTTTAAGATTATCATATGAAAAGGGTTTAAAGGCAATCATTGATTAAGTTTTCATGGATTAAGGTTTCTGGTGGGTGGGGGACGCCCCTCCCACATCTGACTTTGTATATAAAAGATCCATTGTAATTCCCAATAACACACATCACTTCTGCACTAGACCAGAGTCCAGTCTCTTTCTTTCTCTCTCTCTCTCTCTCTTTCTTCTTCCCTCCAATAGCCGATGCCGTCTCCACCTTTGGGGTACCCTGAACCTGGCTGGAGATGGTCTCCGGCAAGTGGTAGAGCCTGACAAATCTTAACATGGCAAAACTATTTGAGAAGTGCAGATTGTATTAAGAAAACAGACAAATGCAGACTTCTTTCTAGGAGGAAGAAGGTCAAGAAAATCATTGAGCTGAGTTGATGCATACATTTTTGCCCAAGTAGAGAGTAATTATAGGCTTAAATACAGTATTTGGGCTGGATGCAATGGCTCACACCTGGAATCCCAGTACTGTGGGAGGCCAAGGCAAGAGGACTGCTTGAGCCCAGAAGTTCAAGACCAGCCTGGGCAACATAGCAAAATTTGTGTCTTAAAAAAAAAAAAGAATAAGAAAAAAATCCCAAAACTAGCAGAGTATGGTGACACATGCCACAGTCCCAGTCAAGGCTGTAGTGAATTCTGACCTAGCCTGACAGTGTGAGACTCCAACTCAAAAAAACAACAGTATTTGTAAAAGCACAAGGAGATACACAAGAAAAGGGAAATTCAGAAGACTCTTAAGTACTTGTAGTTGACTGAATAATGACCTCCAAGGTATCAGGTCCTAACCCCTGGAACCTGCAAACATTACCTATTTGGAAAAAGGATCTTTAAGGATGTGATTAAGTTAAGGATACAGAGACAGGAAGATGATCCTAGATTATCCTGTAGGCCCTAAATGCCATCACAAGTGTCCTTATAAGAGAGTAGCGGAAGCCAGGCACAGTGACTCACGCCTGTCATGCCAGCACTTTGGGAGGCAAAGACAAGAGCACCACCTGAGTCCAAGGGCCTGAGACCAGCCTGGGCAACTCACCAATACCTCATCTAAATCAAAAAACTTACTTCATAAATCAAAAACTTAGCCGGGTGTGGTGGTGCGTACCTGTGGTTCCAGCTACTTGAGTGGTTGATGCAGAAGGATCATCTGAACCCAGCAGGTCAAGGCTATGGTAGCCATGATTGTGCCACTACACTCAAGTCTGGGAGCAAGAGTAAGACTTCTACTTTAAAAAAAAAGGGGGCCGGGCTTGGTGGCTCGGCCTGTAATCCTGCGCCTTTGGGAGGCTGAGGTGAATGGATTGCCTGAGCCCGCGGGTTCAAGACCCACCTGGGCAACTTGGCGAGACCTCATCTCTACAATAAATCAAAAAAAAAAAAATTAGCCGGGCGTGGTAGCACACACCTGTAGTTCCAGCTACTTGGAAGGCTGAGGCGGAAGAATCGCCAGAGCCCAGCAGGTCAATGCTCCGGTGGCCGGGAGCAGCCACTGCACTCCAGTCTAGGCGACTGAGACTCCAACTCAAAAAAAAAAAAAAAAAATTTTTTTTTTAAAAAAGGGGAGGGGAGAGAATGGCAGGAGATTTGACACACACAGAGGAGAAGAAGATGTGAAGATGGAGGAGATAGAGTTGAAGATGCCAGCTGGAAAAACTGGATTGATACAAGGAATGAATGCCAGCAGCCACTGAAAGCTGGAAGAGGCAAAGAACAGATTCTTCCATGGGGCCTTTGGGAGGAGCCAAGCTCTGCTGATTCCTTGATTTCAGCCCAGAACACTGATTCAAACTTCTGGTCTCTATTAAGTATAAGAGAATAAACTTCTGTTGTTCCAAGCCACCAAATTTGTGGTAATTTGTTGCAGCAGCCCTCAGAACCAAATGCTGTCCCTCACAGCCACTGTGAATGCAGTGCTACACAGCTGAGACATTACCCAAGCCTCTGAAGAGTCATCTGATTCTTATGCAGGAGAATGACATAATCAGATCTGTGTTCCATAATGTAAAATCCGGTGGCAGTGTGGAGATTCTATTGGTG